CGCTCATCTATTTTAGGTTGCCCAGTTCTAGTTTATTTTCTGTTAGATTCCCCTTGTGTCTTCACTTCTTGTGTTTATGTCTCCCGTGCCCATCATGTGTTTCAGTAATGTCTTTGTCTCCCGTCTTCTCCTCTTGTTTACATGTTTTCCCTCATGACCCTTTCCATCCGTCATGTGTTTTTCTGCAGCCATCATGTTCTGTGCTTGGTTACGGCTGCCTGATCTGCAGTTTTTTCCTATGTGTGTATTTATAGTGTTCCTCATCAGTTCTTCACGTTGAGTCCGCGTGTCTTAGTCTGTCATGTGTTTTCATGTCTGCGTGTTTCATGTTGTCAAGCGTGTGCCACGTCTGCGTTATGTTTCCTGTTTTATTTTGTAGAGGTCTGGTGTCCCATGTTCATTGTGTTTAGTTTTACTTCCCCTGTGGTGTCATTATGTTCATTCTAATCAGCTGTTTCCCAAGTGTTTGCACGTCCCCTGATCACCTCCTGTGTGCATTAATCTGTGTGTTTTCATTCATTCCTCATCCAATCGTCTGTGATCCGGCCATGTCATGCCATGCCAGGTTTCCAGGGTTTCATGTTTTCATGTATTCGTACCAAGTTGTCACATTTAAGGTTTTTTTTTTCACGTTTAGGATATTCTATGTTTTCTTTCTAGTTTTATCCAATTTAGGCTTTTGTTTAGCTTCAAATAGTTTTTACACTTTTATTTTTGTACTGCTCGTTCAGCCATATTAAACGCTATGTTCTCTGTTAGAATCAAGTTTGTTTGTGCGTGTCTGCATCAGCTGACTGTGATTGTGTAAACTGGGAGATTCATGTGAATTTAGGCACATATCAGTGTCACCAATAGTAGTTTCACCTACCATGTATTTCAAACAGAAATGTTTAATTACAACAGCATAGAGCCTTGTTGTTGTGATTTGGTGCTGTATAAATAAAATGTAATTGAACTGAATTGGAAATGGACACATTTTCCACCTCCACTTTTTCAGTACTTTAAATTGGTGTGGTGACGCGTTACTGACAGCTGTTAGTGTTTGCAGGAAGGATGTGTGTCAGGGGCAGAAAACTGAAAAAGACATAACAGGTTCAATAATACAGATCAGCAAATCAGCTGTTTGATTTGAGACCTGCAGTCTTGGACTACAAGTTTAAAGAAATGAATTAAACTTGTAACCTTTGTATTGACATTTTTCTTATTCACATTGTTAATATCATTTATCAATCATCAATCCTTGTTAATATCATTCATGGTGCATATATATTCATATAAACTAAGCTTGGCAGAAAACAACAGTTATTTGCTTGCATCTCATGGAATTCATACATTTTCATAAACAGTAAGCAAGTCAACTCACCAGTGAACTGACAAAGTGCTCAGACTTATTATTTGACGTACTTCCACTGATAGTCTTACTTCAGAGTCTCTGGTTTTGTAATGATAAACAGCATATAAACATAATCATTAGGTCACATCTTTTTTTTAATAACCTTTTCTTCTTTCTGTCACCAACAGTGAAGAACATGTCTCGGCTCTGCTCAAACTCAAAACAAACCTCTCCCAAGCCGACATGAATACCATCACATCCACTGTGCTGGACACACTAAAAGAAAGCTATACTGGTGGTGAAACCCGGAGGTTTTTCTCCAATGTTGTAGTGATGAGCCCTTCATTTCCAACATGTATTACGTCATGCAGTGGATAAGATGAGTTGAATTCCAGTGCTTTCAGTCTGTCAGTAAGGATGTACAAAGTGGCTGCCATGGACAAGCCTGATTCTAATGTTACAGGTACTATAACAAACATCACACTGTGTGTGACCACATGTGACCAGATTACAGGAGACAGTCTTTCCTCTCTGCATTTTTGCATTTTGTGTTGTATTGTGAAATGTGCTCTTTGCATGATGCTACAGTACTTTAGAATTTAATGACTCTGTATCTTTTAATATGTTAGATTTGTCTCTAACAGACGATGTCACGATTTGTGAGGCAAACCGTGTGGAGACAAGAGATGTGGACCCAAACGCAGACAAAATAGATGCAGGAGAATGTTTAAATTGAAGACGAGCCTTTATTAGCACTTGAAAAGCAACTAGTGAGGGGAACAGTCACTAGCGAGGGGTACTAACAAAACCTACACTGGGAGAAGCTAACATGAAACCTGAAACAAAGAATGAGGAAACCTGAAAACTGGCAACACAGGTAGAGGAATGCAGGAAAAGATGAACAGGGGATGATATGCAGACGAGGACCAGAGGTTAACGCACTAAATATGCACAGAACGTGAAAGCAAAACACTGAAAACAGGACACAAGACTCGCCAAAGTAAAACAGAAAACATGAGACAGTTCACAATGATCCAGACTACACACTAAGACATGGAAACGAGACAGACTTGGGAACACAGGAAACACAAGCAGAGACCCTATACTAAATCTATACTAAACATGAGGGTCGCAGGAAACAAAAGCTAGAGGACAGGACAGTGACAGATGATAATGAAACATGATAACACACTTGAGAAATGTATTCACATCACATCAAAAAGTCTGTCAGTTTTGCAGCATTTGGCTGAATATGTATCCATGTACACCTCAGAATCCCCCCTGCTGCTACTATCAGCAGTCACATCTAAATCAACACCAGTGGTCGGGTTACACTGGCAGCCAGTTTTCAGACTTTTTGTTGTGTCTCAGGGGAAATGATAATCAGCCTAAGTGTTGCTTTTTATTTACTTATTTATTATTTTTGAAAGATCATCACTTATGTGTTATTTGTTATTCCATTTTGTACAGTTAAACTTTCTTCTTATTTCTTGTCTTAGAGGTGCAGGCTTCTCTCTTAAAACATCGTCACCATGTGCTCTGCTTCACTTGGACGTAAACATAGTTTTGTACACAGAGAAATGGGAGCGAGGAAATGTGCATGTTTGTTCCGGATGCTTCTGATTTACTAACATATGCACCGTGGTGACAATAAAATAGGCTGGCATGTACGTTTCACAAATGGGATTTTGCGTTTGATTTCTGCACAGGGTAAAAATATTTCCAGGCAAATATTAGTAAATGAGGCTCATTGTCTCCCCATGTTTCACAGATAATGTGGTCGTGAAATCGGTCACATGCTCTCTCCTCCTGATTTTCTCTTCCCATGGTTCTGGTACAAGTTAATCTTGGTTTCATCTTTTGAAATATAATTTTTCGAGAACTGTGCGTCTCTTAGATGTTTTCTGGCAAAGTCTAATCTGACCTTCTTGTTCCTCAGTGTAACCTCATGTTTGCACCTTGTTGTAAACTCTGTGTATTTACAAGACACAAGATGAGAGTTTTATGTCATGGTGGACTCGGACACACAGGCTTTACACCTAAACAGCATTGATGACCCTGGATAATAATAACTCTGCTGGAAGTGTTTCCTAGTCTTCTATTACTGTATTAGATACTGCTGAAATAATATAACCGACGTCTTGTAACAACATGGATAAATAATACTCTGATGCACTGGAACATTGTTTCACATGTAACCTTATAGTGACGTTTTCATTTTGATATTATCTATTAGTTTTTCTCAGTGTTGTAAATAATACTATACTATAATATAAGGTACTGCTTTTAAAAAATGTACACAACCACTGAAAAAAGTCAGAATTTCTGCAATAATTTATGTTTGTTTCTTGGTTTATGCAAGTTAGTATAGAATAAGTCTTTATTTTTGTATTTATACAAGAATAAATAATAAATGGAAATATCGTGTTTGCAGTGAAGTAATAAAGTACACTCTTTAAAATATTATCCTTTGTCCTGTCATATTTGTTGTGTTTGACATCAGACACAGAAACGTGACATATTTCACATCAAACATATATATTATGTTAATCTGCTCATGTGTGTTATTTTGTAAAGGTAACCAGACAGATAACCATCAAAGTCAATTCATTTTTCAGATAAATGTATAATCTTATGTGTAGTATCATCATCATTATTATTATCATTATTATTATTATTATTATTATTATTATGCGCATAAAAACAGCACTTGGAAACAAATCTCACATATTTCTATCATCTTATTTAAAAACCCAATTCTACTTTTTTTTCAAAAAGGTATGGACAAAGACTAAACACGTGCACGCATAACTACAGCACACACCAGTGGACCACCCTCTAGTGGACATAAATGTCCTAATGTCACGTTGGATTTGGTTTTAATGCAACTTGTGTACATTTACCTGCCAAACATAGAAACCATGTTGTAAATAATACTCAAAAAGATATTCATGAGATTTTTCTCAGTTCTGTAAACAACACTTTCTTAAAAATTAAGTTTTGCTCCATTTTTCATATACCATAAAAATGTAGACACAAGACTCAATCAACAGTTTTTTCCCCGAAACAAATATAGCACCCACATTGCCCTCTAGTGGACTGTGATCACGTTGCATTTGATTTCATTACTTGAGCACAATTATCCGCATCTATCAGCGTGAGAGGTTACAGGTATTTTCTCTCATTTCTCCTGTTGTGATATATTGCACAGTTTCCCTTCTTTAGACCTCTAAAAAACAACGGCGAAGAAAAAAAGTCTCAGAAGTACAACACACTGGTTTCGAGAGATTTTATCATTTTTGACACCTATTGTTGTATTTCTTTCTTCAGTACCCGCTGCAACACTGTCAAAGGTTATGCAGCAGACATAATGCTGCGACTTCATTGTCTCACCTGTAAAGTATACATTTGACCGAAACACGCCTGTAAGGTGCTCTGACTCACAGCTCAGACTGGATGACTGGAAACTGTCCCGTTTCTGTGAACGTGACACGCTTGCTTTTGCCCCTCGTTTGTGCGCCTGCTCTTTAAACGGTTAGTGACGTATGGCTTTCATAAAAAAAGGGACGTTGCCCATTATAAATGCCCTCCTACCCCGCCCCGCGTGCGCGCTCTGTCACACCCTCTGACCTTGCCAAACCTGAACTAGTAATCGAAAGCAGGTGAAGCGGGAAGAAACTGTGGAAGTTCTATCACCTGTGCGAAACCGGAGGTAAGTACATCTTTTTCTCTTTACTGTAACTAGGTACGGTTTGCATACACAGACTGAATATCAATCTTGAAAATAAAACTGCGAGAGAAATCACTCTGCTGTCTCTCTCTCTCTCTACACACAGACACACACACATTTGTGTTCAGCGACATCTAATTTCTTATCTCAGCACGGTGTGCAGCATGCCCTTGAAATATTTAGTAATCTGGACAAATTGAAGTTTTGCGAGGCTAAAAACGATCAACAGCAGATAAAAAGTATTTGAAAGTCCAGGACCTGAGAGATGAGATTAAATGGTCCCAAATTACAAACAACGTGTTGCTCTCTGTTTTTCTACCTCAATCTATCTGATATAAAATGTTATCTGTAATATAGTTTTATGATGATCCTGGTGAAAGCCACAATGAATTGCTTAGTCAATAAACTGGTTCTTTATACAGCACTTATACAGGTTTTATTATGTAAGATTTTGTTCATTGAGGCACTTTCTCACAAATTACTATAACTATCATTAAAATCCAGATAAGAAGTAACAAAATAGAAATGCTTCATTACTTTACTTGAGTATTTATTATGTTTTCACATTTGGGTAGATAATGGAATAACATGTCACAAATGATGGACAAGTCCACTGAGAACCCCAGCAATGACACGGTGTCCACCAAGAGCAATGGATCCATCAAGAGCGATGAGAAGACGTCGACTGATGGTGGCATAAATGTGGGCATGATGGGGAAGTTTAGAAGGAGCCTCCGGCTTCCAACACGGAAGAATCCTCCATCTCCTGGTGACAAGGAATCCAAGTTATCACCAGAATCAGATGAACCTGCAAAGAAGTTGGATTCTGCGGCTTCACCACAACCTCCGTCACCCAGTGAGTACCGTTGGGGTTTTCATAAAATCTCCTGTCAAATGTAAACACAGATGGCAAGCTAGATGGTGTCTCTCTTGTTTAGGCCAGAGGACTGAGTGTCCATTTTCTGCAGATTGGTGCACCTCCGTCTCCCTAAGATGCTCTTTTCATACTCAATCATGTTACTGAACTGTGGGCATTAAACTAACCAGTTGCAAAATTTTCCTCCAGCTGTTTCTTGTTAGCACCACTTACTTTGCTGCCTTTCCCAACTTTAGGACATGTTGCTCACATTTGATATGTCTCCTATGTTCTATGCCTATAATCTTAACTTACAGCATGAGTGTTTCCCAGCTTTCTGACAGTGCAGGTTGCATATATTTCCCTAGAGGACCCACGTGAGTCATTCCTCTGAGATGTGGGTGCTATTGTACACACAGTATGTGCAGTAAAGCAAAATAAATAAATCTATCAAGCTGACTTAAGGCAGGCACCATTACATTTAGAAAATGTAGGTGCAGAAATGTGTCCCCCTGTCCAAGACATTAACGGTGATGTTTGATTTTAGGAGACATGCATTCACAAAGCTCCACCACGGCAGCTCACTCTGTTTACTTTACAGTATTGTAATTGTAATGTATATATTCATGTAGTTTTCTTTTCTTCTTTTTAAATGTCCTACAGGAAATTTGTAGTGCAGTAAAAATCAGATAAAGATGACAGATTTACTTTGACACAAACATTATGTAGGAGCAGGTAATCTGTAATAACTGGACATGATTAACTTTAGCTAATTATACAATATTATACAACAGTATATTTCTAAATAAGACTGGGTACTGTCACTGATTTCTACAAATGATTCAAGTTTGATTCAATTTGATTCAGAAATATTAGAATTATGATCATCTGACTTGGATATGTACTGTCAAAAGAACCCTCTAAACCTTGTAGGGGCGATCGTGGCTCAAGAGTTGGCATCGGAAGGTTGCTGGTTCGAGCCCTGGCTCCGACAGTCTCAGCCGTTGTGTCCTTGGGCAAGACACTTCACCCGTTGCCTACTGGTGGTGGTCAGAGGGCCCAGTGTTGAGGTCATTTTTGGTGAAAAAAGCGTCAGACATCACCATACACCGTACACAGCTGTAGACTGGTGTATAATAAGAAAGCGAATAAGGCAGAAAACTGGTATTGAAGTACTCTGAGAAGGATCCACGCTTTGTGTTCCCTCTTTTGTGGAATCTTATCTGTTTTGTGGAATCTTATCTGTTTTGTGGAATCTTATCTGTTTTGTGGAATCTTATCTGTTTTGTGGAATCTTATCTGTTTTGTGGAGTTTTATCTGTTTTGTGGAGTTTTATCTGTTTTGTGGAGTTTTATCTGTTTTGTGGTTGTTGAAATGGTTTTGAGAGCTTTTAGTTGAGACTCTGACATACGTGGCAAAATACATTTATATTTAAAAATTGATTTAAGGATTCAATAATCAATCAGTATCGGATTATTTAAATTCAAATTGCTTTGAGTTTGGATATCGTTTTTTTACCCACCCATATTTCTAACTAACTTTCTTTAAAGATATAATGAATTTATGGTTAACTTGTAAAACATGATATTTGTATACAAACTAATGTCATATTTACTTGACCATATATATCATCGCCTATGTACCTTTACGTTGTCAGTACAAACACTGGCAGTGAGAAACAATGCACACACTAAAAATCATAGTTTTAAGCTTTTTGTCAATTTCTGACAAATAAACACATTTTAAGTTGGTATTGAAGATCTCAGTGGATGTAAAGCAAATTTTAATGAGTAGTTAAGATGACCTCAGTCTACAGTTTCAGAATTCATTCCAAACTTTTCAAGCTACTGTGTTTGCAGACAGAATGATGTGCACACATGCACTATCAAAGACATAATTTCCTTAGAAAAATAAAACGAAACACAAGAAGACCGTTAAACTTGTTGGAACATGTCTGTTTGCTAAATGAAGGAGCGTCTGGGTCATACATAAGCAGACAAGTTTTCCTCTGGGTTTTCCTTGAGTTAACATTAACTAGTGCTGGTAAAGATATAAAAACTCACCTCAAACTTTAAATACAAAGAAATGGAAGATGTAAAAATATTGCTCTTTTCCCCAGAAGTTTAATGTCTATTATATTTCATAAAGAAATATTTATTTTTCCCCACATTAACAGCAAAATACTAGACTTTTTTCAGCCTGTGCAAGAGGGTGGAAGAAGCCACTTTACTGGTCTGTCCTCTTCTTCAGGTTATCCTTTGAGGCGAGGGCTTTGGTTTGCCTACTACAGGATACATGAACTACTTTGTATACCAAAGTGTTTTACAGTCAAATGTGCCCAAAGTACGCCATGCAAAAGGACAATGATCTCGTGCACCGCAGCAAATCTACAACAGAATGGTGAAAAAAAAAAGCAAAGAATCAATGTTTTGGCTCGTCCCAGAAAAGGTTCAGAGCTCAACCTGAATTGAATCCTGTGGCAGGACATTAATTGCTGTGACACCACAAAGACGAAACTAGGGACTAAAGAGTCAGTTTAAAAGAGAAAGCAGCTTTTACAAATGTCCTCTTCTCCCCTCTCTGTCAGGTCTGAGTCCTGGCTCTGCATCCACCTCTCCGAAGAGCAACCAGGAAAAAGAGGATGATGAGTCAGATGTTTCTTCTCACAAATCCAGACCACTAACACCATCAAACACAGGTGAAACTTCTTAATTTTAATACTAGATCAATGATCCTGCATACTGGATACGTAGAGATTTACTTTCACATACAAATCCATCCATCCATCCATGCACCCATCCTTTTTTGCTTATTCGGGGCCAGGTTGCGTGGGCAGCATCCTTAGCAGAGAAGCCCACACCTCCCTCTCTCAAGCCACCTCCTCTTGCTTGTCTGGGGGAACACCAAGGCGTTCCCAGGCCAGCCAAGAGATGGAGGAGCCTCCTCCTGGTCCGACATGCCCGGAACACCTCACCCAGGAGGTGCCCAGGAGGCATCCTTGTCAGATGCCCAAACCACATCAACTGGCTTCTTTTGATGTGGAGGAGCAGTGGCTCTACTCTAAGCGCCTCCTGGATGGTTGAATGCCTTACATTATATCTAAGGGAGAGGCCAGCCATCCTTTGGAAAGTTTAGAAAGTGTACTTTATTGGTCCCCGTGGGGAAAATCGCTCTCTGCATTTAACCCATTCATTGGAGAGGGCTCATTTGTATCTGCAACCTTGTTCTTTTGGTGACTACCCAAGACTATTGACCATAAGTGAGGGTGGGAACGAAGATCGACTGGTAAATCGAAAGTTTCGCTTTTACGCTCAGTTTTCTCTTCATGAACTCCAGGAAGGCCTGGTACTCTGAACTGTCATTCAGCACATAGAGGCTGACGACAGTCAGGACACGTTTCCTGACCCGAAGGCACAGGGAACATCCTTGCTCCAGGGCGGAGCCCCGGTAAACCTATCCTGGTAAGGGTAAACTGTTCCCTGGGTCTTCTCATATGGGTTTTTGAATTGCTCTTTATCTGGTGCCTCACCCCTACCAGGGGACAAAAGCCCCCCAACATCATAGCCCCCGGGATCTCTGGAATACACAAACCCCTCCACCAGGGTATAGATCATTTATGCATGGATTGTTACCCTTACTATAAAAACTCCAAATGTCATCTGTTTAAAAATCGCTATTATCAGCTTTCATGTTTAAGATCATGCAGTCATGAAAGAACAAACCAAAGTAGCTAAAATCTGCACACTTGCAAATGATTTTTTTTCTCTGTAAAATGTTCTCTTGTCTGTGGAAAGTGGAGAAAACAAAAGATCAGAAATCAGGCCTGTAGTTTGTTATTCAAACTATATTAAACTGTTTGCTTTTCTTTCTTAGATCCCAGTATGCCGAAGTTTGAAAATACATTAAACAGACTGAGAGAATCTTTTCGTTGGAGACGAAAAAAGGAAGTGGATACACTCCCCTCTGAAGACTTGAAGGAAGAAAAAGGTGGGAAGTACAAATACTTTTTACTGTACCTGTTTTTAATTTTCAATGCTTTATTTAAGTATTCCTTTTAACTTTTACTTTTTAATGCAAATATATCTCCTTTCTACTCTTTACGTTTTCAAATCAGACTTGTATTTGAATTTCTTTTTATTTATTTATTTTTATTTTTATTTCCTGTCACTGTGCACCTTTAAACATCAAGCTGATGCCAAATTGCAACCTCATCCCACATAGCAAAATTGGTATGGCTTAGATCTGGCCCACAGAATGTGCTTACACATGGCTCACATACCGCAAAGAATGACGACCCTTTGGTGGCCCAGATTTGGTTTGCCAGATGTGGCCCACACATGGGTCAGCACAAGGCCAGTTGCAGACACACTGCTGGCCCAGAACAGTTTCAGCTCTGGCCCCGGATGTCAGCCTAATGTGTACCTTAATCAAGCCATGTAATAACAACAGGTGCCAGAACATAATAGTGCAAAAGAAGCATGACAAAACTCTGTTCAGACAGTGAATGGACTGACTCTTATACAGCGCTTTTCTAGTCTCCCAGATTACTTAAAGTGCTCTATACAACATGCCACATTTATCAAACACTTCCTCTAAACTGAGTGCTTCCTATTTACATTCATACACATTCACACTCTTGACATGCAGGCTGGAGGAGCCAGGGATCGAACCACTAAGCTTGCGTTCAGTAGGTGACCTGCTCTACCTCCTGAGCTACAGCCACCCACTGTCAAAGATGTGTAAACCGTCACTAGGTTTTGGATAAAGTGTACCCTCACAAACCTGTCACACCTGCATTTGAAACGTTGGTTACCATAGCAGTATAGTATTGCAACATGGCATTTGGGTCTTCTAACTAAAATAGGAAAATAGGAACATAAATAGTACCATCATTGCCAGACCTGGCCCACATCTGGTTGACATACACCCTGCCATGACTCCAGTCAGTCAGAAGTGCCAGCTTGATGCCAGATCCGGGCCAGACCTGTTTTCTGTGGGCCTGGGCCACATAAACCAAACCACAATCAAGCCAGATGTGGCATTCCATCACATAAACAGTGCCATCTATGCCAGGCCTGGCCCATATCTGGATGACATATGTCTTATCATGCCAGAAGTCAGCAGTGCCGGTTTGATACCAGATCCAGGCCAGACTTGATATGTGGGAGTGGGCAGAACAATAACACATAAAAGACAATCTTATTAGAGTATCCATCGCCAATCTTTATTGCATACAAATCACACTTAGTGGGTAAAGTGACCCCAAACAATCCAAAACAGCATTTTTGGTGCAGATGTTCATGAGTAATAGTTGTGGTACTTCAGGATCTAGTTAGCGCTACAGACACAAATGAGCATCAAGCAAACAGTTTCTGAGAAGTTCATCGCACAATGTGTGAACACAAG